TGCATCGTTTCAGGTCATGGTCAATACCATATTCAAGGATCTTTAGATCAAGGCGTAGTAGTCTACCTGGATGACATCTTAATGTATTCAAAGACTAGAGAAGAGCATACGACTCTTGTACGAGATGTTTTGGAGCGACTGCGACGACACCATCTATACCGAAACCTCGAGAAAACGGAATGGTATCAACAGGAGGTAGAATTCCTGGGATTTATACTATCAGGAAAAGGGAACCGAGTATCACCAAAGAAAGTCCAGGCGATCGAAGGTTGGTTAGCCCCAACCAAGGTCAAGGAACTTCAATGCTTCCTCGGTTTCGCCAATTTCCTAAGACGGTTCATCCACCGATACTCTGAGGTTTGCAGACCCATGACCGATCTCCTGAAGAAAGGTTCCGTATGGAAATGGGGCAGGGAACAGCAGGATGCGTTCGACGAGCTCAAGAGGAGATTTACGTCTGCTCCAATACTCCGACACTATGACGAACACCGCGAAGCAATTGTGGAGACTGATGCGAGTGACTGGGCCGAGGCCGCAGTACTCTCTCAGGTGTTCGAGGACGGTATTCTACATCCGGTAGCTTACCACTCTCGCAAGTTCAACGAGGCAGAGGTTAACTATGAGATCTACGACAAGGAGATGCTCGCAATAGTTTCTGCTCTCTTGACTTGGAGACATTGGCTGGAAGGGACGGACATCCCTATCCAGATACATTCGGATCACCAAAACCTGCAGTATTTCACAACGACCAAGAAGTTGTCGAGAAGACAAGCCAGATGGGCCGAGAAAATAGCACCTTTTCGCTTCAAGATCCATTACCGACCAGGCGAAAAGAACGGCAAGCCAGATGCACTTACAAGGCGTCCGGAGTTCGCAATGGAAGGGGGAGTAATGCGTGAGCAGCCCGTAAAACAGCTACTCAGCGCAGAACAGTTTGTCAGAAAATCACGGACCAGCGTAGAAACTGGGTCCGAAGTGATTGGTAACCCCGAAGAGGAATGGAATCAGTTGGATCAGTGGTACGACACACCAAGCGTAGGGCTGCCTCAGCCACTACAGGGTTGGTTTGAACAGCAAAGACGATGGGTTCGGAGGATGGTTCCGGATGAACACCTCCCTGATTCAAACCTTGAGATCTTCGGACCACCGGAGGCCGCTATCGTAAAGGTAGAGCCTGCCGCTGAATGGAGTCCCGATTCGAATGACCCCACCCACGATGGTCGATGGGTAGTACCAGGCTACGCGGTGAAGCAGGTCATTGAGGAACATCATGATCGACCCGTAGCGGGGCATCTAGGAAGGGATAAAACCCTTGAGTTGATTGATAGAAACTACTGGTGGCCAGGAATGTCCACGGATGTAGCCAACTTCGTCAAGACTTGCGATGTATGCCAGAGAGCCAAGCAACGTCGGAGACACTTGTCACTCCCTCAACCCCTAGGGTTAGACACCACACCTTGGACTGATATCTCGATGGATTTCGTAGTAGAAATGCCTAAGGAGAAATCAGGATTCCGCAACGTATTGGTAGTCGTAGACCGTTTTACGAAGATGGCTCACTTCATTCCAATGACGGGAATCAACGCGGAACAAACCGCTAACGCATTCGTCAAAGATATCTGGCGTTTCCACGGACTTCCTAGGAGCATCATCTCGGACAGAGGAACGCAGTTCGTGTCAGCATTCTGGGCGGCAATTACGGACAGACTGGGAATTCGTAGAAGACTCTCCACCTCATTCCACCCCCAAACCGACGGCCAAACAGAGCGGACCAACCACCACATGGAAGGCTATATTCGGGTATATACGGCAGAAACAGGCAAGAAATGGAAGGACCTATTACCTATCTGTGAATACGCCTACAACAATGCGAAGCATACGTCGACGGGGCAATCGCCGTTCTAATGCAATTATGGCTTCCACCCTCGAACGGATTGGCCTACGGATGCAGAGATCGAACGATTAGACGCCAACGGGAACAAGTACTTGGATGAGATCATCACGGCTCATGAGTTAGCGAGAGATACGCTACAGAAGACCTTCGACAGGATGGCGTCAAAGCCAGGACCGGCAGTACAGCGGTTCACTATCGGTCAGAAAGTCTTGCTGGACACTCGGAACCTAGGGGGATAGTCCAAGTGGTCAGACAAGTTCACAGGCCCATTTACAGTTTCAGCAGTGGTGGGCAATCGGGCTTACCGTCTCGAACTTCCGGTAGAATGGAAGGTTCACGACGTCTTTCACGAGATGCTGCTGCGACCCTATCGTGAGGACCCGGATCCCACCAGAAAACAAAACACACGAAAGCGACTGGCAACACCCGAGCCACAGGAGGCATTGGCAGACGAGAATTTCCAGCCAACCTCGAGCATACGACCCCATACGGGAAGTCGAGGCCCAGCGATCGATAACGACCGGGCTCAGAAGCGACAACGGAACAGGCGGGACTAAGCTCGATACCTTTCCCTACTCTATGACTTTTCCCACAGGGTTTTCATCATAGAAGGGTTTTAACGGTCGAGGGCGACGTCTAGGAAGGGGGAGTAGTGTTACAGGAACTAAGGAACACTGTTCTAGAGGCTTAGGACAATGAGAAATACGAGTGACGGGTTGTGATGCGAGGACGGTCGGGTAACGAAAGGACAAGCATAGAAAGGTATCGGGTAGTGTGGGGGCACGCGGTGTTACCACACTAGTGTTATACTATTATGACGGCACGCTTACTATTGGCTGTCTCACCCGGAATAGAATAGGAAGCGGGGGTTACGGCTGTAGGCTGTTCTACTTAGGGAAGTAGGTCTAGGATAATAGTATGGTACAGCCCGATGACTGGCAATTGCAAGGTTCATGGTTACGTGTCGGAATTAGAATGGAGGACGGAACTATGCGGGGGCGCTTTTCTATCTGGGTTATCTTCGGGAGCATTATCTTATTCTATTATCGTTGTGTCAGTTAGTATTAGAAAGCGGGCCTTGGCATAGGTTCTAACATGTATAAATAGGGCTTGATTCTGCGAAGACTTGAGGGTATCATCAACCATCAAGTCAAGGGAATCCGGTTTACAATATCATCAGTTTAAACGCTACAGAATTATCGCTTAGCACTAGCCATTTTCCTTAACAATAGGGTGATAAATTACACTGTTTACACCGCATGCATTGTACCTTAGGATGATTAGAGTAAATTGGGTCGGCCTATATCTCGATATCAGTGGATGGGGAGCGACGGATGAATGGGTCAAAACATCGCTGGCCCCCATCAGTTCACGGGCTATGTACGTGGGCATGTAAGAAGAAAAGTCCACACTGGTACCGGAAACTGATTCTGCATTCGATCAACCACGTCACAACCAATCACTCGGAGATCCATCATCCATCACTCGTTTCATGCATTGTCACTCGCGTCATCGGCTATCACTCGTTTCGATTTTTGTCTGCTGCTTTTACACTTTCCCACTAGGGTTGGCTCTCCGAACTCCGTCCTCTCAATAGCTGACTTCTCGCTGGGTTAGGTCTTATCACTATTTTCTTTTCTGGCTTTGGCGGGCCTAGGACGAGTTCTCGGGGAATTTTCGCGACAAGGTTTTCATGGTATACTTTCATAGAGGGAAAAAAATAAGATAACACTTCCAGCACACCTTCCTATGAATAACTTAGATAACAATAACAATAATAGTGGTACTATTAATACCTTGTTCGCACGGAACTCAAATGTTATGTGGCCTGCGTTTATGCATACCGCATTAAGGCATTCTGGCTAGGGAAAACCTCCGAACTCAACTCGTGCGAGATTGAGACACGCTAGAGAGACGTTTCTCCTATGCCATCGCTCATTGTTACATGTCAGATGCGCCCCGTCAGAGGGAGATAGCTGCCGCATCCAGATCATATCCGGAACGTATGTACCGTTCAGATAGCTAGCCTCCGCTATTAAGAATTAATCTAAACGGAATATTCCATTCAGGTGCCTGATCCCCTCCACCAGGGTTGTCCAGTTATCGTTTAGGCTATCGCAAGCATGTGGACCCCCCAAAAACCCAAATTTGTGTGGGTTTACAAACAGATCCCTTTAACTCCCTTCAGTGATAAATCTCTCATACAAATCTAATTCGGCTGTTATAGCAGGGTCGATATTAACAGTTTAAGGGGATACAAAATTCCCACCTTAATTAGCAAGGTGAGAGTAATTTCGGTGAATACGTTTGCTATGTCCAGTGATTTTCTTTTGACACAACAATATCCTCCATGGTAGAGGTAGCCATAACGTTTGGTATGGGGTAACATGACAAGACAGGGTAATAGGGCCGCACTTATATACGAATTATAGGGCTGATAACAACGTCACAAACTCAGAAACAACAAAATGCCCAAGTACAAACGAAGGGATAACATCATCAACCGCAACCTGCAACTGGCTCAAGAGAAAGATATCGAAACACATGGCCAAGTAAGTATATTTATAAGCCTTGGGATTTGATCTTAATTGAGGTAGCAGTTGGCACTCCGAAGGTAACCCCAGACACCACGAATGGTCTTGAGATGGTCTGGGCGAAGTAGCGAGAGGATCAGCGGCCCTGTTCGGTGTTTGCAGAGAGAAGGACAGTTCAGTCACCATATGGGTGGGAAATAATACGGAATAGAAGTGATGAAGGGGAAGAAAGAAGTCCAACAAAGATTAACTTAGTTGAAACAAATAGAGAATGTAGACAGGACTCTCGCGGCACATAATTCAAGTGACATAACAAATGGAGATGAACAAAGAGGCACGAGGTAATTCCTCTGTAGATAAAACAACTCTATTTGCTATTAGAGGTAGGTTAAGGCACATCAGAGACAGCGGAGACCATACGAAATTAAGATAAATTAGACCCAAGGTGTTAAATGTATTGATCCAGATATGAGGGAAACTACCTATATATAGACCATTTGTCAGACATTACCATCAACTTGTGCCTCAACACCTATGAGAAAGATTACGATGTCTTTATTCGAGCCATTTTTCTACAGGTTCCTCCTAGTATCGGTCATCTGGAGGTTCAGAAGCTCTAAGACCCTCTCACGGATTTCCTCGATCTTGTCGGCCGCCCCATGGATACACTTGTCATAGACCTGGACCATTCTCTCAATCTTTGGAAGAACACGCAATAAGTCGTCGGTGGTGTTCAACTCCATCTCTTCAGTACGATTTGGAAACAGACGGTCAATGAGATTGGACAAGCGCGGTGCTGAGGTAACTTGACCCTGATCTATGGATCCGCAGAGTTCCTTGAAGATATAGTTTCTTTCGGCGGCGTTGGAATTCTTTCTGTGGCGGAGGTGGTTGATTTGGTTTCCGAGCTCAATGATTTCAGCAATTCTGTAGGTGATAGAAGGCTCTGTAGTGGGTGGAGCTTTGGAAGACATCGTTCCTTTCTTGGGTGATCCTAATTTTAATCAGGAATGGATGTTATTGGGGATGTGTAGGCGGGAGATATTAGGATAGGTAGGAGAAGGGAACTTCGGACCATGTGGTCCCTTGATGGAAATTGGAATTTGAGGTGTATGCTCTATAGTATGTAACGTATCGGACTGCGAAGTCGGACGTGATCGTGAAGTCGGATGACTAATCAACCTCGTCAAAATGGGTTTGAATTCTTTGAACCCCGCTTCTAGATGATTGTTCAGCTTCGAGCTAGACAGGCCGTGAGGTGAGAGTGTATACTTCAACGAGAACTTTGCGCAAAAGGTATCAAGGACTCAGTGTGCCGCTCCTATTTGAATGCCAGTAGGCTAATTATTATTAGTATTGCGAGCGGGCCTGCAGGTGATCTAGTGCACAATGGGAAGGGTGAGATCACGTTCTACTGCTGCGGCACCGTCCCAATCAGAAAGGGAGGACCGCATCCACCGAGCATTAGCCAAAAAAGCGGAGACCAATAGTATTCCATGGACTACGCTCGCACTTGAGTTTGGTGTTCCGGCGTCGACACTGAACGATAGATACAACGGTCGCCGAAATCACCGTGAAGCGCATGTGGGCCAGCAAAAACTGCCGCCAATTGTAGAAAAGGCTTTGAAAAGATGGTGTCAAGACATGGATGACAATGGATTTCCCCCAAGACTGGATTTGCTGCGGGGAATGGTGACTGCATTAGCGCAGAAACAGGCTAAAGAGGAGGGGCTACCCACTACCGATGAGTCTACCTACATTGGCAAAAAATGGATATCCCGATTCCTAGATCGAAACCCAGACCTCGCAGCTAAATTTAGCAACCAGCTAGATAATCGGCGTCAAAATGCAAGCAATTTGATTACCCTTCAAGCTACTTTGATAAGCTTACGCGACTCATACGTAAGCTGATTTCAAAAGGGTTTATTCCATCAAAAGATACCTATAATTTTGATGAGAAGGGTTTCATTTTGGGGTATTCATCAAAAGCAAAAGTGATTTGTAGATCTGGGAGGAGGAATCCAAACGTTGCTCAAGATGGTTCCAGAGAGCTTATTACCGTAGTTGAGACAGTATCAGCTGCAGGAAATGCACTTCCATCTTGGGTAATATATAAGGGTAAAGGTCATTATATGGGTTGGCATACAGCAGTCGACCATCCCATTGCGGTGTTTGCATACAGCGAAAACGGTTGGACAGACAATGTGTTAGGGCTGAGAGGGTTGAAGTAACATTTTGATCCGCATACAGCAAAACTAAGTAATGGCAGACCAAGATTACTTATTATGGATGGACATGGCTCTCATCTAACATATGAATTCTGTTCTTACGATCTCTCTCATGAAATCTATTTGATTTGCTTCCCTGCTCACTCGACACATCTCTTACAACCTCTTGATGTCGGTCTCTTCAGCCCCTTGCAACACTATTACGGCAAAGCAGCAGATACACATATTAGGGAAACCAGGACAGGCATTACGAATGGGATGTTTTCGAAGTTCTTTACCGAAGCAAAATCAAAAGCGTACAGCAAAGAAACAATAGAAGAATCATTTCTAACTACAGGTATTCATCCGCTCAATCCTGATAAAGTACTGAACAAAGCCCGTCCTACCAAAGCCGTCAAAACAGTTTGCCCTATCGATCTACACATGAAAACGCCGAGAACACGCTGAGACCTACGTCAACAGACTCAATTCGCATTAATGAACCCACAAAAACATTCAACAATTGTCCTAAAACTGTCTCATGCCGTTGAAGAAGCAATGGATGAAGCTGAAATTGCAAAATTACAATTGCGAGACTTGTGAGTGAAGTACGTAGGCAAGCGGGCTCTCAAATCAGATGGAAGAGTCTTGTCTAAAGCGCAGGTAATTACTGGCGCTGAGGTTATTGCCCTACGAGAGACTATAGAGAACAAGGAGATAGCAAAGTTATTAAAGGCGGAATCATCAAAAGCCAAATCCTCGGGCACAACCATCAACTCTAGGAAGCAGAAGTGTAGGAACTGGAATTCAAAAACCATTTCTACCCGTTCCACTACCCCTCAACTCATCAAGAAGCGGATGAACTTGAAAAGGACCAAAATTCCGATTTCAATAACAGATTCTGATCCGGATCCTCCAACTCTACAACAAGAGATTGATGACCAGAGCTCTTTAGAGTACGAAGACATTCAAGACTTGAAAACTCTGGCTTCCAAAGCTCATCCTCAGTACATACTGCCTTCCAAAAGACAGGTGCCATCTCGCATATCTCTCCAGTCCAGAAAGTAGAATTAGTATATAGGTAGGCACTCCATCGGTCAAGGAGATATCAAAATACCGGTGCTAACACTTCTAGGAGGCCATACTACCCACTACCTTAAAAAACTATCATACAATTACTAGTAGATTATCCTGTAGAAGAATAATATTTGAGACCGTACCTTTGTATTTGTCGTAACTATTCATTTATGCGAAGGCCAAGGCATCCAAGTGAGACTGTCTCAGGGTCTGGGGCATCCGACTTCCTGGTCATATCCGACTTCCCCGTCCGATACGTTAGTAGGCTCAGGGCGATACTTTAGAGTAAGGAGAAGTCATTTCAAAAGGCACGCAGAGCTATAATAATGATCGCTCGGTGCAAGAAATTAACAGCTGTAGTTATATGATTTTGACTATTGTAGGAAGATGGTTGAATATTCTTGCCAATAAATTGACTAAACCTACTCATTTCTCCGTCTCACATCAAATTCTAACTTAAAATCCTATTGCTTGCTACGCAGTGATTAGGCCTTTGACCGTCACATCGCAGGGGTTCCTGTTCTACCGTATATGGACCAACCAATTATACTACTATTTCCCTCATCACACAGTGAAATAATCTATTTCAAACACTAATATCTCGATCCCCGTAAAGCTCCAACAGAGGTCATCGGTACACCTAGCAGGTATCCGGATAAAACAAAATATTCCAGGAAAACGTAATGTACACTGCAGGAAAGATTTCACTCAACATCCCTGATCATTTAGTTATCTACGCAATGAAACGGTCTGACTACTGAGTGAGAAGATGAGAATAGTTGTTTGATCCCCGCCCGGTTACACCCCCGACGCGATGATAATACTGTTGACGCCGAGGAGGGCATCACCGATCGCAATAGCGTCACCGCGATATAGCGAATATATGAAATTTTGAATCTCTGGGCCTTTCACGTATATCGGGATGCACGCTCTGGTATGGAACATGTGGCCACAATCCTAAAGCTCTTTTGACGTTAGGGAGGAGAATTGACTTAGTCAGGGGTTTGAAGCGCAGAGCGCTGTCTTGTTGGGATGGCTGCGTTAGTAGATTGAGTAAGAAACCATTCAGCAGAATACGGGGAATCAGAGACAAGGTGGCTTGAATGCTTCAAGTCGAAGGGGGATAAGGAGGGTCAGGAGGGAGAATGGAGATTCATTCTTGAGGACGGGCAGTCAATGGGTTATGAAGACAGATTTGTCAAACACAGAGGTGGTGAAGAGCATATGATCGGGCGCGATTATGGCAGTGCTCCGAGTGTAGATTTCTGATTCTCGCAGGTAGATTACCAACTCAACCGTCTTGATGAAAACGTTTGGCTGCTTCGTTCTGGGCTATTGTAGGGTCATGGTTGGTATAGTTCAATACTTCAGAACCTCTTATGGAGGATATGTTGGCGTCTATGATATAGTCCTTGGTCATAAATCATGAGAAGGCACTCATTTCACTCCGCAAATGCCGTTTTTCAAAACATGGTCCTAGACCACCAATTGTCATGAATCATTTTCGAGAACCGGACGATTTTGTTTGCGTGTGAAAAATAGCTCTATCAAATGAAAATGACAATATTACACCCGTAGCATGAGTTGTGTTGGTTTTGCTACACTGAGTTGCAAAAAATGCGCCTAGACCCAAATCTCCAAGCCTCTCTACTTCTAGCTCATGTTACATTTCCCACACCCCACCCTAGAGAGTGCCCTCTGAATTTTATTACACTTGATAGCCAATATCCCACGCCTCAAAGCCTTCTTTACCACCTATGGTAATTGTGATGTGGGTGGTGGTTGCACCTAGGCCAATTTTTGGCGAGTTTATAAGAGTGTGGTTTGGTTGCCTTCCCATGATTTACGGCCCCCCGCTATACATATCAAAGGATACAAACTCCCTATTCCCGAGGAGGTTTGCAGCTTGGTTACCTCGGACCTGACAGGTCAGATATGTTTCTCATGATTTTTTTGCCCTTCTTGTCCATCCCCAGATCTATATATATATAGAGATGTGAAGCTCAATACACATTCAATGCCCAAAGCTTTCGGGTTACACGGCTCCAATGTGATTATATCCACGAATAGCTACGTCCAGGCCAAACGATATGGACCCGCCGGTCGGATAAAAGAGGGACAAGCTTGAGGATCTTTTTCTTGTTTGCCTCATGAATGCAACCAAAAAGCGCTGCGCCCTAAACTGAAAAGGGGTGCATAATATTTGTGCGAGCGGGTAGAAAGGTAGATGAGCGGCTATTTTACTGGCCAATATTAGCGGGGGCAGAAATCCATCGTTTATATACAGTCTAGGAGCAATCAGGAAAGATTAGGTTTTAGAGCCCCGACAGTATACTTCTACCTTCTCTTTAGCGTTCTTTGCAGTTCTACCAGCTGAGCTCAAGAGAGCCGATTGTGCTCCACGTGATCGTCCTTAGCCATTGTCTTCGAGAATTTTCTCCTTGCACAATGGTTATTTTGTGGGCCGTGGTGCTAATTATAAACTAAATGGCACAGTCATATAAATTTGAATCTTCCCAAACTCCGGTTGGCAGAACCATCATCGCATATCATCGTTCACTCAGTCTTCACAACACATAAACAGCGAACCCTGAGTGTATTTAAAAGCTTGAATAACCAAAGGGCTCTCCACAGCTTGATCCTTTCCCATCTTTCTCAAACACACAGGTTAAACACAAGCTCGAAACCTTCATACTCTCCGAAACTATGAACGACCAAAGCCTTTCTTTTTACAAAAAAAGAAACGTACCCACAGAATGGCTTTCCTCCTGATGGGTTATGTTTTTCACCATCCTTACATTTTCTACCAATGGATTCGTCATCGGACCTTTCCACGCTTCATGGCAGGCATGCCCCGTACCCGTAGTAATCCCTGGATTGCCGATAACTGTGCCCTCGTCATCATTCACCTCGACGCACTCATGATCGACCTCAAAGCCCAGATCGGTTGCTGCAAGCAAGAACTTCAGTCTGGTAGGTGTGAACCTCCGTATGGCTTCCAGCACGGGTTTGATCTTCAAGAAGCCATCCGCTATTTGAAATTGGAACTTGATGTGTACCGCCACTTGAAATACCATCTCTTCCATTGCAACTCGTAAGTCAAGCTCTTGCCCTCTCTTTCCTTTAACCTCGAATCCAGTTGCTCACACACACCTGCATTCAGCCTAGCGTGGAATATATGGCTCTTTCAGAATACCCCTTAGCGAGGACTCGGAGAGCGACAACGAGGAGGTGTATCACGAGGAGGTGGAGGATGACGAAATGGTCGAGGCGGAAGGGGACGAAGAAAAAGGGGACAACGAAGAGGAAAGCGATGAGGAGATGCATGATGCTAAAATGGACGAGGAGATCCACAACGATACGAGTGGTAATTACAAACCGACGGACGAGGAAGAAAGTGACGAGGAGGAAAGTGACGAGGAGGAAAGTGACGAGGAGTAGTAGCCATACTACTCTCACTACTAGTTATTATATTAACGTCACTCAATAAAAAAATCAAACATATCACGTACCGTCATCAGGTTTGATTGAGGCTTTTGAATCCTGGGACCTCCGGGGGCCGGGCCATGGGGTTATTGCTGGTAGATCCAGATTTATGGAGTAACATCGTAGAGAGAATTCCTATCGCTTTTTGTATATTCCTGTGGAAGCTACTCTTGCGATCCTCTTTGGTCTTCGGTTGTTTAATGTCTAAAGGCACTTTCTTTCAATTACCAGGTTTATGAGAGCTTCTGCTGCTATAGTGAATTCAAGTGCATAATAAAAAATGCTATCTTAATATTCTCTTTTCCAATATCATGCCGCATGCTATTGATCAACGATCTAAGTGAATCGTATCGATCTCGGAAAATCATATTGGATCGCATGATTATGTCTCTGGGAACCACCATTTCATTCTGATTTTAGTAACCACGAATACGAGAGATTTTTCAAGTCTATACGGATAGCATTCTAGTAGTTTTTATTGTCGCACGCTAAACGGGATGGTCAGAAAATATGCAGATAAAATAAAAAATAAAAAAGTAGAATCGAAGTAACATAACATTGAGAATGACAGGGGAAGGGAAAGTAAGGCGGTGAGAAAAGTTCAAAATAACTATACAGAAAACAGAAAGTATTTTTTTTAATAAGGGATGAGTCACAAGGCCCAGAACACAGGATGAGGGGAAGCGCAAAATGAAGTCAAAAAAACAAGGTACAAAAGTAAGTGAGTATGAGCATCAAACAATGAAATAACAGACAGCTCCGAGGCGAGCTTTCGATTTTGGCCTAGTGATTGACCATGTGTAAGAGCGTGATTGGCGTAGTGTCAGTGACGCAGAGGAGTTGAAATGCTCATCAGGGTATACCGTCTGATGTACATGGACAATCTCTACTACCTCATGCTGCCCAATCTAATTGTAACTAATCCAGATGCCTCAAGTCATTAAGTCCCACGAGAGGGTGTTTCTCATTGGGTTGGAAGTTATCCAAACGTGTTGTAGGCAGTTCGTGAACACGGGCAATTGACGAACAAAACCAAATTGTTCGCCAAATACCTAGGCAAGCGATGAACAAATCATCTATCGTACTCTGATATTATCCCTAGGCAGTTCGCGAAAATTTCTCCAAATAGAAGAAAACCAAGAAAAACCACCACCCCGAGAACGCAAGGTCCGCACGAAATCTTCTCCGAGTAATAATGCCTGGAACCTGACAAAGCATCGGGCAGTTTACAGCTTATAAAACACTGGATCTGGTGGTAAAGTGTCTCAGTCGTTCTCATGTAGTCATTTTCACCCATGACCGGCTTGGTGTTTGCGAACTGCCTGCAGTATTCAGCTATATCTACTTGTTCGTCACTTGCTTGGGTATTTGGGGAACAATTTAGTGTTGTTCGTCGATTGCCGGTGTTCGTGAGATGTCTACAACAGTTGCTTGTCATGAGTTTTGAAAACGTCAAAAGGGTTCGGTGTTTCCCCGTGGCTGTACCTCTCTCCTTGTGGCCAAAGCGGCAACGGCAGCAGCGATGGCGACGACGTTGTATTGTTACACGAGGGGCTTAACCACACAAGGATTAGCTTGTGTGTTCTGTAAATAAGGTTTTAACGGTCCGCTGGAGACTTGGCGGTGGCTTGCATATGCAAGGTCGATCCTTTCCTTCCGAAACAGCATCTTGGAGCAAGCGGTCGTCGCTTGGGCGGGTTTTTGTCTCTGTGTTTGTTAGTTCAGTTTGTGGCCGGTCCCGAAAGGTTGGCAATGTTAAGGTGACATTGGATGCGTCCTGTAGAGCAGCAAACATCACTCAAAACAAGTGTTTTCCTCCTGATGCTTATCTCACGGGGCGGAAGGGTGTCCGAATAGATCGACCGCTCCCAGGAGAGAGCAGCGTAGCCTCTGGACATTGCTTCGGATTACCGGAAAGGTTTCTCCCTGTAGACGTTGTCTGCGATAATTGAGAGTATTAGTATATGAGATGTGTTTGTGAGCGCGAGTTACTGCCCACGGAGCAAAATTAGAAGCTTTGACAAAAGCTTGTGCCATGAAGTCGCATTTAGCCTGACTTCCAGCAGAAATAGAAGTAGTGGTTCTGGAATTTAATTATCTCGCGTGGGATATATGTGTATCATCATGCCATTATAGCACTCCGCCGATCGAAGTCTATTCTGTTTGAGTGAGATAGGTGCCCTATGTAGGGAATATCTAGATAGCAGATACCATACGAACATCCTCCACTATTATCAACTAATCTGAACAGTATATTCATTCGGTGAGAAATACAATCCACCAGTGTTATTTGGTTATATAGTGTTTTGTGAGAGATGTGATATTGCCGCCTTAATCAATATAGTTGGAGCAAGTTCGACGGACATGTTTGCAAAGACCGCTTTTTTTGACTCAACAATATCCTCATTAATAGAGGTATCCGTCAAAGTACTATCAAATATTGCCTGGTCAGCACGGCAACGCCAATGGGACAGACCCAGTTTTTGGACAGGTTGCGCCCTCTACACTACTCCCGTCCTATCAGCCCGCTGAATCGTCTACAGCACTGGTATATATCGCGTAAATCACCCCACAGTGCAGTTAGTTTTTAGGAATAAACTAATTTTCTCGTTAGGGCTTTCATGATTCTATACGTATTGAACGGGGATGACCGATGCGAACTTAGTCGTTCGTGTGTGAAGAATGCTGTCTAACGCGTTGTGAGAAAAGTAGTTACTGGTCTCAAGATTTGACGACACGGCAAGACAACAAAAACCAGCGAAAACAAATCTACCGGGCCCCGAGTCTAGATTCCTAATTTAATTTCGCCTGGCATCTATTCGTCAGCCTCTGCTCTATCTCTGCTTTTGGATAAACGTGTGTGAAGCTTTTGTCGTCGGGGAAATAGGTAAAACACTTGACATAGGACCGATGGGTGCCGTTCACGCGCGATAACCAAGCTTATCTCTATACCTTGATCACCTCCTTCGTTTGGGCTCATTGATGGGAAAGCGTGCTAGTCGAAGACATTCTTGTCGCAGATGTGTTAATATCACTTGGCATGGGTGTCATGGGTGATGACCCTAACCTGCCACATATGCGCGAAAAAGATTTTACAAACCAAGCCCATTTCACGTAGGGGAGGTTCATCACATGAGAGAGGTTGTTGGCGCCTTGATTTCCATGTGCCACAGGGCTTGAGATCATCACTATCCTGCGTAGTCATTACCCGGCTTACTCATGTAAGCTCAAAATAACTGTAGGCCGCATGGAATTGCGATAGGTAAACCTTTCTATATATGAAATGGGCTGATGCGCCATGCAAGCAGGGTGCAGAACCATTTTTGACTCCACGATAGCTTTTTTCCTTTTCCTTTTTTTTTTTTTGCACAGCGAAACTCGAAGCGGGGGGGCGATACAGATACAGCGACTCTTCGGTTCGAACACGTCTGCTGTGCGACCTCTTTACCTAATCGCTTCCCAAGCTAAGAAGCTCTTTGCGCCTCATTGCTCTGACATAGCTTAGAGGCGAATAATCATACTCCCACCGCAACGAATCATATGTAAATTAGTGAGCCGTTAATATGTAGCAACGGCCAACGAGACATTGTAGGACAGTACTGAAGGAACCAAAGCTTAGAAAGAGTAACACTGAGAGAGATATTGCAAGGAGAGTTCACGGGGTGCTACGCAGGGGCATAGTGGAAAATTTGGTGATTTGAACAAGTGAGGAGAGGTTTTAGCCATCGTGAGAGTGGGAAAGCGGGTGTCTAGGATCATTAAAAGAACGACCCTCTGTGTTTCAGGTCGCTCCGTATTCTTTCGAGAAGAGATGAAATTCGATCTAGAAAGCTTTCTGATCCTTGTGATCTCTTCGGTGAGCGATCTAAGGATTGCTTCATGGCCTTTACCTTTTTACACACACAGACAGCACGAATTACTTTTTAAAATATAATTCTATACCTATAGAACCAATCTGACGATAACATGAAATGTTAGCGAGCATGACCGTCTAAAAAGTGTAGTTTGACCACATAAGCTATTTCACTTTATCCACTCCAATTCCTGTGACTCCACGTCTTAAATCTTAAAACAGTCCAGTCTATCACAAGTTTTTACCGATCGAGAAATGACCAAAGCAAATATTCGAGCGTTATGAGAAACTCTGTGAAACGCGCAGATCAGAACGATGTTCCTCTTGGAAGTATACCTAGGAGTAGGTGTGACGGAGACCTACATGCTTAAAGAAACTGTATGAAAGTGAAGAGTCCCATGGTGTTTTAGGCTACGAGTAGCAAATGAAATGAGAACACTAGCACAACGAAAACGTTAGAAGGAGGAGGAGGATAGAAGAAAGGTAACCCACAAGAAAATCTCAAAGAATGATCGCGACCAATCTATGAGAGAGACTTCTGACACAGAAATAACAAATATAAAGCCTATATACACGGGAAGGATTAGTATGCAATTTGATAGCGAAATGCAGTGGGTTAGTAGTGGAAGAAGAGGGACGAAGGCAAGGTGGACGAAGAAGGAGAAAGACCTACAAGAAAAGAGATCTTAACGAGTGGTCGCAGCCAGTCTATGGTTGCAAGATCTAAATCTAAAGCATAGACTAAAGCTCAAGGACCTCAGGCCCGTCATCATGGACGTTTCCTAAAGATGAAACAGGAATTAGCAAAGAAATTCACAAACATAGAGGAAGGCCGCAAGGTAGATGGACTAACCGTAAGATACCTCAGAAGAAACCCTGCGATGATCTCCGAGCATATGAACTGGAGCCAACGGCGCCAAATCAACAACCCTGTATCTGAGATCCCTGTTTGACTGGTTCTCAAGCGTGAGCGAGTCGACTACCGCATCCATCATGCTCGAAGGATCCGCATTGAATACCTCTTGGGCTGCTTGTCTCGCTGGACCAGCAAGCCACCGAGGACGGACAGTGTTTAGGGCCTCGATAGATGTTGTCGGCGTAGTTGTTTGGATAGTGGTAATGCACGTGTCGGTGGCCACAAACTCATTCAAATTCCCTAAAACAGACGATCGAATTAGTAACACCATCAAGATATATCATAGTCAGGAAGGGGGGAGTACGAACCATGAGCAACAGAAGTTAAAGTTCTGACACCTTGACCAGGCACATGAACTGGAGCCGGGGGAGCCAAATTGATTGCTCGACATCCTTGATCAGAAACCATGAAGTTCTCAAGTCTCAACGAGTCGACGAGGGCATTCGCGATGTCCACCCTGGTAAACTCTGCCCTGTGGACGGAGGCTGGGAGCACAGTATCCAACACTTCCCCAACTGTTGGTCCTGATGTGGCAGCAAGAGGCCGAAGACGCATGTTGTCGTAAACTGTGATAGCAGCAGCGGTTTCAACATCGGTAATGCGACAATCAATAGTGATCATTGTGGAAATAGGAGTTTGATGAGAGTTACGGCGAGTTTTAGTTGAGAGCTTGCAAACAACCTTAACAATGACATTGTGGCAATGACGCTTGACGTAGCGAATGAATCGTTGGAAGAAAGAAATGTCGGGCTGATTTCCGTAGGGGTTGTGCCAGTAGTATTCAGGGGATATGATGGGATCAGGGCTGGCCGAGACCTCGGGATATTCAAGGTGGTCTGAATCAGTCTCGCCCGAGATGTAGACCCAGAGGCCTTCGGCAAGGTTGGAGGAGGGAGATGTCTGTTGGGGGTAGTGAGCGACCTCGAGTTCATCGTTAGTGGGGAGCCCAGTGAGGCCCATTACCTCAAGGTCCCCGGCCTGGGAGGAAGCATTCATTCTCAGGGTTCCGTGGGAAGAAGGAGATATCCTCTGGGCTGGGTTAGCTTGAGAAAACATAAATGTCGAGCTTACAAAGAAATTATCGAACAAGTTAAAGATTTTGTTTCTCGTTTCAGTTGTGAATTCTTTGATTTTTGTCTGGTGTGTGGGTCCGGGTGTGTGGGTTGAAACGATTCAAAGATGTAGGATAGGAATATAAGTTGTGGGTGCATTTCCTTTCGTGGAAACCCCGGCGCCTACGCCCAGCGGGTAATATCATGTACAGCTGCGTGGACCAGGCTTGGGTGTAGAAGCCGCGGTTATTCCTCGTTCTGGCCCGGGGTATACACCGCGAGAGAAAGACCTTCGCACCACAGTTCGTCAGAAAGCCCTAGTCCTACCTATACATTTACCACTAATATTTAGTCTCACATCCTCTAGAGGACAACTGTAGGTTACTATATCATTTAGCTAAATCACTTCGCTGTTTAAAATAAAAAGACAACTGTTCAGCTAAATGACCATTTAGGTAAATGCCTTCTGCCAGCAGCCAGCGATAAAAGCACCACCACGGGTGGCCTTCCTCTTCTTCAACGCCAACAATTCAACACTATCAACAGTTCCACGGTAGTCATCACCAACGCACTCAGCATCATCCCCTTCAGCCCAATTTCTATCAAGTTCATCTTATTAGATCAGTGTCCCATCTATTCCCCTCCATTGCCCAACTGTTTCCATCCGTTCGTTGCATGTTCCACTCCCCCCCCCCCCTATTCACTTACGTTCCCCCCTTGTTCCCTACGTTTCCCACCTGTTCCCCTATGTTTCACTTCTGCTAAGGTAGTTCGGTGCTTAGAGTCACCATCACCATCACCGGTATCAAGGTAGGTCATATCCAGCCCACTGATTGGCATAGCCATTACTAATTGGCAGATGCAGAGGCAGAAGCAGAGTCAGGGCAGCGGCGAGGTAGCGGGGCAGCATCAGAACCAAAAGCAGAAGCAGAAGCAGCAGTGGGTGTAGTAGTAGCAGTAGCAGCAGCAGTAGCATTAAAAATAATAAAATAAATTGATTTTCTTTTTTTAATTCATTAATTGCATGAATAAATTAAATTGATCAATATATATCTCTAAACGACAAGTCATTTATTAACGGTGGTGATACATTCGACCTTGTGATTTAGTTTAGTTGAGTAGTAAAGAACGAAGTCACTTATACTATACAACTCTACTAAACGACAAAGTCATTGATAGTTTGCTACAAGAGATCACGCTATTGATCAGGGCTTACAGAAGCCAGACGATGTTCATTAGCTGCTTTGCTGAAAAACCACCGACCAGAACAATAAAGTCATCCATCCTATCCTCCCATAGGCCATGCGTATCCGTCTCTAGGCGCTATCTCGTCTCTAATCATGTTTCCCCATTGTAATCATCCTTACTCTCAAACAAGTACCCCCCGCTGTCTCTCCCTGTCCGGAGAAAGATCGTGAGGAAAAAGGTTTTGGAACTTATACCCCTCCTAGCTACACCTTCGCAGGTACATTCCCACCGATCGTGCAACTACAATCTATCTGTCTCTCCTTTGACGACTGATCCAACCCATAATTTCTTCCTCCCTGCATTAACTGTCTTGAGTTCTCAAGCACCCTTGCTCAAGATCTATGGCTAGCCGTAAGCCCCTTGGGAGTAGAGAATGATGAATTGTTTCTCCGTAGGATTTACACACCCGGATTCCACTTCGGCAACTGGTGGAACAGAACCCGACCAAATCGCCTCATTTATGTTCCTCGGATCCCCAAACCTGAATCTCAAAAGATGCTTTGTCAGCTAGGCACAATCATGATTCATCACTCACAATGAAGGTTAGGGTTAAGGATCCCTCGGCATGCAAGATGCCCGCTGGCTCACTTTTGTTCAAGGGCAGGGTCGGAAAGCATAACAAGAACCCAGGCAAGACGCGAAACGGGCGAAACGAAATTATATTCTCCACCATCATGTCACTCTCAATGAGCGAAAGCACAAATACACTGGTCCAGGTCTACGCTCAAAAATCCCGTAAAGGACCAATAACAGCCAACCAAGCGGTGACCACGAGATCGACTTTCCTTTAATATCAAAACAGGCTCTTTAACAGGGTTTAACGTGGCCTAAGTACTGATTCGTGGTTTACCATTTTGGTGCTTATCGGGCGGTTAGGAAATCCACGATACAAAATTCGCCGGATCACTTTTTCGAGAGCAGAAATAAATCGAGATTAAAACAAATGGTTTTTACGTATCTAAACCCTGAACTACGATCTTAATTATCTTTCTAGTACTCAAGTTGCGCTCCATCCTGCCTGTGATGCTTCGCACTGTACATTCTCACGATCTGCTCATTTTTCTGTATTTCCCTTTCCCAAGTTTAACAGTGCAAGTACGCCCGCAATTGACATTATCTTCTCTCCTCTATCGCTCCTTAGAGCGCCATTCTGTCTTGAACGCCACCTTCTGTTCACCGCCATTTCCTCCGTCCCTCTCATACCGTACCCTGCTCTCCCGTCCTCATCAATGACCTCTTTCTCAGTCAGTCGCCTATGGAATGTCATGGCAGGTTCCCTCTTATCTTTCAACCAATCAGGGCGGTATAGACTCTCAATTGAGTGCCCATGACGGCTGTCCTAGCGCGATTAACTTGTAGAAACGGAGCTTGCCTCTCAATTCTCTGTAAACAGTGACATTCGCAGTAGCCAGTAAAACGCCAGGGAAATAGTCCTCCCGCCTAACGAGGGATTCTTATTGGCAGAGACCTTTTAGCCAGCCGCTTTAGAAGCGCATGGATCGTAAAAGGCTTTGTGCTGGAAACTTTCGAACATCTCCAACACGAAGAGCAAAATGCCAAGGCCCGCTCAGCACACAGCGTATGTGAAATACCTACCTTCCCAAACCAAATTAATCCACTTCGTATTCAAGTTCTTCCTCTCCTAAATTATTGTTCACTACCCCCTCCGGTACGTTTCAAAACTTCATTTAAAAAGAGTTGGTTAAACAACTATCGTGTGTCTGTTCCTTGACAGAGCATCAACCAGCCTCCAGTTTAGTTTGATAAACGTCTTATCTCTTCTCTCTCTGCTGTTCTAATAGCAGATTATTCCTCCTTCTGCTGTCGATCAAGATTATCTTCACCTTTCTTTTTACACTTTCAGCCACAACCACCTTTTCTCTCCATTCCCTCTATCGTAGTCTCTTATTCAGAGTTATCTTAGTCTTGTGTCACCATACCAAAAATGGCTCAAACTAAATCCAAAGTCAGCCCTATCCCCCGTCTCACCCGTGCTGGTGCCCGCAAAGCGAGCCAAGAAGCCAAAGCTGCTTCCCAAAACGAAGAGTTCAAACAACAGTCCGAACAAGAGTCTGATGATAAACAATCATCAATTTCAGCCTCCGATTCAGGTGAAGAAGAAGGGGGGTCTGTGGACGAAGATGGCATGTATGATGTCATCTATGTGGGAAGCCGGTCTTCAAGCCCGGTCAATGTTTCCTCAAATGTTGAAGATGAAACCGAGATTGGGTTGAGTGTTGAGAATAATGTTGGGGATTTGTCTATAAGTATGTTGCATTTGTCCATCTGCTGCTATTGCTCCTCGTGTGTCTTCTTCCACATCCACGATACTAATTATACTCCTTTCTAAATAGTTCAAGAACAAGCCCATGTCTGGTCAGAACTTGGAGAGGAAATCGAGAGCCTGCAGGGGGCAATGCCAGAGCTTGAAGAATTTGACAGTTTCGAATGTTAGTTACAATCTTCCATCCGCTGCGATCTTTCCCCCCTCGTTTTTTGTGTTCCTCCTCCACGATACTAACCATGTTCCTTCTTCTGTAAAGTTCAAGAAATCTCTCCTACATGGACATATGGTCAGGAAGAGACCCAGGGTATGTCTAGGGGTGGAGGAGACACTGATGGTCCGAATATTTCTCAATGTAAATTACACCCTTCCATTTTCTGCTCCTTTTTCTCCTACTTTCTTTTGTACCACGTCCATGATACTAATTACGATTCCTCTACACAGGCCAAGAGCGATTTCGTTGTGAGACCCCAGAGATGCAGTTGTTTTCTACACTTGTCGCTCTTCAGCCCCAGTCACTTCGTCAGGTCACTCCACAGGCAGACGATGATATAATCTTCTCCAACTTTGTCCAAGATGGAGACTATGTCCATGGCGAAGTAGACAAGACCTCTGTTGGTTCCATCCATGCGGGAACGAACAATGTTGGGAATCCTGTAGAAGTTCAGACTTTGGGGGTGGAGTCAGACCCGAAAGATATTTGCTCTGCACCCGTTTTTCACGGGGTTTCTGACGCGGCTCATCCTACAGCTGACGAGTCTACCAACCAGACCTTCGGCTCTATGGCTGCGGAGGGATGTGTTAGTGCTGAGCATGCTCCACCTACAGCGGTCTCCCAAGCTTTCCTTACCCCTATCCATGAAGAAGGTGAGAACCCCCTTCACTTCCCTATATCTGTTTCATTTCGTGCCTCAATTATTTCTAACTTTTCCTATCTGAAACAGTTACCCAACAATCTACTTCTGTCTGGGATGACTTCGATGAACCTTATAAAGCACTTTCTCCTGTCTGGAAGGGCCCCAATGGGCCTCGACAGGCGTTTGGCACCCTTCTACCGCCCCGTCAGGCTACCATTGGTTCCACCTCAGGTTTTATTGACCCAGGGCTTTTCGAGCTTGGGTACAACTCAGTGACGACCGAAACACAATTAACGGAGCTGTCTCGTTTCGCTCCGGCCGGTGTCATTGGCAATGAACCCCAGCCCCCACCCACTGCATTTTTGGACAACCCAGTGACGACCGAAACACAATTAACGGAGCTGTCTCAGAACACTCTGGCCGATGTCACTGGTAATAAAATGCATCCTGCACTCGGACCATCCCGTAGGACTATCACCCCCCTACTCGCAAGGCCGGTATGCGCAAGCCCAGTGAGCGCAAGCCACGCTCCAAAAAGGCCATCGCAGCCTCAAAGCAAATACGTGTGGAATCAGTTGTGGAACCAGTTGCCGGATCAGTGGTCGATTCAGTTCCCGAATCAGCTCACCAATCAGTACCAGTGGCCCCGGAGTCTTATCCCTCACATGCTGATCACGAAACTTGGTATGCGTTAACAGACTTTATACAAATGGAGAACGCAAAGGGGTCGACTGACGTTCAGACGTCGGGTCCTTTGTCGTCGTTGACCATCCCCGTTTCGAGCAACATATCTTCAATCATTTTCCCTGCACTCTCAACAGTCATGGCTAATGCTTCATCGTCGTCAATCATCCCCGTTTCCAATACCAAACCTTCAATCATTGTCCCCGCACTCCCAGCTATCGTGGCTGATGCTTCATCGTCGTCGACCGTCCCTGCAGTTGTTACTGAGAAGAAACGAGGTAGTAACAACAAGGCTTACGTCCGTCCTCCCAGAACCAAGGCGAGATTGGAGCAGACAAGAATTGAAAAGGCTGCCAATCTCGCAGAGCTGGACGAGCTCATTGCGGATGCTCACAGACGTGCATTGATTGAAGCTGCTACTGGATCGACCTGTGGTCCCGTCGAGTTCAAACAGGGCCCGAATATCAACAAACATCCAAAGAGCTTAACTCACGGCATCATGCATGTCACATTTGCCAATAAGGGTGAGATGCCAGCGTATATCGAAGCCGCCTACCTCGAAAAGGTGAGGAGATTCACCGCTAGTCCGACTGGATCAATGCGCGGCCGTAGAGCTCGCGACGAAGGAACCGACGTGGAGATTTTAAACCTCCCAGAGATCCCGCGATGGCAATGCAAGATTTGCAATGAAATCCTTCCTACAAGCTGGGCATTAAAGCTTCACAGGAAGATTCACCCAGTACACTCAATTTGCGAGGTCTGCAACAAGACCTTCACAAGAGGACCTTCTCACCGAAGGCATATGGGTAAAGCCCATCCCGGTTTCGCCTCGTGCACCTGTTATTGTGGAAGAGTTTTCAGCAATGGAAAGTTCTTGGAGAAACACCAGAGAACCTGCGACACCTACATCAGAGAAAACGATTCTGAATTTAGCGATCCAGAGGAGGAGCAAACCGGAGAGAGCAGCGCGAGTCAACAACGTACGAGCAATGAGGATGACATAGTGATGGGCAATACTAGCGATGGCGAAGATGAGAAGGTGGATGAAGATGAGGAAATGGTGGATATTCATGACAATATGGGAGAGGAGGAGGAGCAGGGAATGACTAGAAAGGGGAAGGAGGTTTACCGTTATTAGGAGGGAAATATTAGGGGATTGTGAATGGCCGAAAACTCATGAGATATCAGTTGTGTAACGGTTCCGATGGCATCTGTCATTATACTTATGAGAGAACAGAGCAAAGTGAAGTGTTCAAATATAAGAATAACCACTTACTTCTAACTTTAGCGATGCTGTACCTGTGAACTGAACCTTGAAATGAATGGTAGTGAATCCTAGACCTCGAAATATACCATTGATTTACCCTGGCAGTATATTCTGTGGAGTCTTAGTAATCGTAAGTTTGTCGAAAAAACGTGCAAACCCGTAGGCTAAACATAGTGAAATATTCACCCATGTTCTAAGTACATCCTTGAAAGAATGGTCGATTGTAAGCCGCAGCTGCATATAATTTGGCAACCTATTCTTCCTATGTAATAATCGGTTATATTGTGATTGGCTGTGCTGGAATATTTGATCATTAATCACAAACCAATATACAAGTAGCGCGCGTTATACAAATATCCTGTACTACATACATCCGATCATGGATCATATGATAACGGTCGCACAAAGGATTCTATCATACCAAATGTGAGTAAAGGCATCATTATCCAGATATATGCGACGGGAAATATCGATTCTCAAAGATCTTCAATTGAGCGATCAATGTCATCCAGGATCCAAACAATTGAAGTTCGAAACTTTTCGATTTTTTCTGCCTCTCTAAAGTGGGATATAGTTCATTGATTATCAACTCGATCGCGGTTCTTTCGTTCGAGATTATTATTCCTATATTCTTTTTCGTACTGGTTTGGCTAATTGCCCGAGTACAGAATTGTCGTTCCTATTGGCTGTTTGCTGTCTTCGCACCATCTTTCCAAATAAAATGGATAATTTTCAGAGTATATGTGGAGTTAGATTCTAAATGTAGAATTATATCTCGGACAATGGCGAACCTGCCTATAACGGTTACCGACCTAAGACTTCACCCTATCCTGACGGTTGTCGTCGAGTTTAGGGTCCATAAACGCTAAATGTGACCTAGCGATGCAACCAAGTTTTTCCCTCGCGGGCAAGCCACAGCACGCGTCGGCCCAGATACAAACTGGTTTTCACTTTGTCACCCACCCTTGTTGACGTATGCCCGCGTATCACGCGTCCTAACATCTTAGCTACGTCGCAGCGCCGTTACCAGAGGGATGGGTATGATCGCCCATCCACCAATAATCCTGCGTGATTAGTCCATCTGTTCCGGGCTATTCGCGAATATGACAGATTCGTGAATGGACTTGACAAATTCGCGAACGGGCTTGAGGTATTCGTGAATGGACTCCTAGGCTCATATATCTGTGGCAGGACCAGTCTATTCATGAACAGCATGGGGAAACTGTTGTTTTAGTATCAACACCTGATAACTAATAATGATTTATATTAACCCTGATGACTACTACAATCACCAGAGACCTCTGAAAAAGACTAGCGACCCTAAATATCGAGTCGGGAATAATAATTGGCACCTTCAAGATTTTTAGCGGGCTTCAGTGACATACTGTAGCCTCTATCAGCCTCAGGCACCTTTGCAAGCTCTTATTTGGATCCTATGACCTCTAGTAAAGCCATATGACCTCTGATAGAACCCAGGCAATTCGGGTGTTGGTTCCAAGAGCCAATCTTACTAGCTTTTGCCCAGTCCATTTGCCAACCCACCGCTCAGGTCCCGGGTGTACAGAGAAAGGGGTCCATTCGCAAATTCGAGGTATCCCCAATGGGCAAGAACACATCCCGAACATTTTGCATCAACAATCTATGGAATCAAATGCACGCCAAGTTCACACAGTCAGTATGAAGCTAATGAGTGGGAAATATCTGGACTATTTCATGGCAGGGCTGCGAAGGCTCGCTCGTCTAGATTTACTATCCAGGCACCGGCCACTGTGTACGTCCGAAAATGACCAAATATTTAAATGCAATCATCGATTACAGCCCTATACCATGAAGCCCATCAAGATTGATACGATGGATGAGAACTGCTTGTAATTTCATCCACAGAGGGAGCTTCTGCCAGCCCATCATATATCCATTGAGTACCTAGACTCGGAGAAGGTGTGTAGGAGAAGTAAAGTAATTGATCGTATTGATTGTTCTAGCTAACGGGGAATACCCCGTATTTATACTAAATAGAAGTAGTACAAATGAAATACAATGATTCATGGACGTGTGAGTAATAGAATGACGAATAGGAAAGAGAGTCATACGCCGATGACAAATACTATAATGAAATGATGAGAATCATCCAATACAATGAAATGTACTGAGTGCCTTAATACAAGACTTCCCCTCGTGAGCCACAGTGAATAGTAGAAGAAAATAAAACATGTTTGCCCTTATTCAATCCCTTTGTAAGTAAATCCACCACATTCTCGTTCGTAGAAATATATTCCAGTTCAAATAATTCATCCTCAAACCGCTCCTGAACATAATGGAAATGTACGTCAATATGTTTAGAGTTTTTATAAAAACAGAATTCTTCACCAAGGAGAGAGAGCCATTGTTGTCGCTTCGAAGAATAAAAGAGAGGTTCGGCTTTCATTTCAGCTCGTAGATCGCATTTCTTAACCAAATCAATTGTCGACTAGTATCTAAAAGGGTCATGTATTCCGCTTGAGTCTTAGAAGTGGCGACGGATCGTTGCTTGTAAGAGTGATAGGTGATAAGAGCTTCCCCTAGCATAAAGCAGTGGCCGGTAAATGACAGGCGGTCATCTATGCTGGAGGAATAGCTTGCAGCACTATAGCCGATGAGTGGAGTTGGTGACATTTTGGCTTAAGAGAGTAACCAATCGAGAGTGCCCTCGAGGTAACGAAGTACGCGCTGGACTGCAGCTAGATAGGTCTTGGTAGGACAGGAGGAAAACTGTGAGACTATGGTCACGATGTAAGTTAGTTCAGGTCTAGTGCCAATTACTGCGTACATGAGTGAACCGATAATCGACTAATAAACTATTGCATCATCCATTTTCTCAGTTTCTGTTCACTTTTGGAGATAGACATTGTTGTCGATAAGTATTTTCACGGGTCTGGATTAGTTGAAACCGTACTTGATAAGTAAATGCTTGAGATAGGCTTCCTGTTATACTGAGACAGCGAGGTGCGGAGGTAGAGGTAGGCAGCGACGTGTGGAGACAGGAAGGTGTGTGGGTAGGCACGCAAGCAGGTGCAGGGGTAGGCAAGCAGGCAGGTAGGCGGCGCAGAGGTAGGCGGCGCGGAGGTAGGTAGGGCGCTAGCAAATATCATGATGTACATAGAACTAGATAGACAAATACACGAATATATGTGACAGTCACGCGGCAACCATGTCCTAGTCGTTGTATCTTTTGCCGTTCTGCCAGCAAAAACTGCTAGTGAAAGCCGTTAACCGGGCCTGATATACTAGTGTGGAGATGCCAGGAGGTGACTTTGCCTCTGGACCTGTCGCGACAATGTCCCTTGACAAAGGGATGCAAAGCTCTCATCGCGGGGCACTTAGGTGTCAGGATACAGGTAAGAAATCGCATTGTATTGCCTGGAGCATCTGGGGCGTCTGGAGCGCCCAGGTGTTTCAAGATGAGGCTTCATTTTTTGCTGATGCAAGACAGAACTACTTTTGTTTGTAATGGTATATAGATGTGGCAGATTTTTTCAGAGTCTCCGGATCTGCAGAATTGTCTCTTTATAGCCATTCAATCCAGTTTTGTTCCAGATGGTCGTGTTTCGACAGAGATATAAATCAATATTGTTTCACCCAAGGATTGGAGGTGCCCAATGAAGGGTTTCTTGCCGGTAAGTGCTTCATATGGCGTCATTTTTAGGAGTGATTTATGCGGGAGTTGGTTTTTTAAATGTACCATGGTAGTGATCGCTTCTGCCCATGAGTCCTTGGGTAGGTTGTGTCGAGCAAGAGGGATCGTGCCATTGTTGCTATCGTTCTATTAAAGGGTTCTGCTTGTCCATTTGACTCGTGAGAGTAAGGTATAGTGAATTCATGCTTTATGCCTTTGGACTCAAAAAATTGTAGGAGGTCGTTGAACATGTACTCGCCACCATTATCGTTTCGAAACCCTTTAATCGTTTTATCCAGTTGAGTTTCCATGTATCCAATATACCGTTGCGTCGCAGCTGCTGCATCTGACTTCTTTTTAAAAAAGTAGAGGTGAGCATACCTGGATTTCTTGTTGATGAAAGTGATATAACTGAAACCGCCCAGAGAATGAGTCAAAAACTTACCGCTCAGATTTGAGTTTATTAGTTCCAGTTATCGTTTGGATTGTGGTTCTGTGAGGGAAGCGAGGTGAGACTTGATTGACTTAGCGAGTTCACATGTGTTGCATGTTTCCATGTGACCAGATGTGGGAAGAGACTTGGGGTCGGCGACCATGGTGCGAAGGCATGAGAGTGAGGAAGCGAGAAGGTGTCCAAGGCGTTCGTGCCAGTCATAAAGTCTAGTGGCAGCAGAGAGGTGTGCGCAGGGTTCCTTGGTTTCAAAAGTGTAGAGATCAGTACTGTTTGCGTTAGCAAACCCGATGATATCCGTACTATTCCATTTGTAGATGTTAAAGCCGACTTCCATCCCAATTGTTGTCAATCCCTTTCTGGCGATCCAAGACCAATACATCAGGTTGGTGTTGCCAAGTTCGGGAATCAAGAATACATTCTGCAGAGTGATCAGGCCATGTGATCTCTTGATGGTAACGTTGCCTATTCCGGTCATCTGTAGTTGGCCACCTCTTCCGACGGTAACTGTACCAGTATGGGGAGTGTGCTCCGTAACCAGTGTTCCGGTCATGTAGTTGGTTGCAACAGGGTCGAATATCGATGGCTTATTATGGGAGGTGGAAGATCCTGCAACGAAGCCAAAGTCGTCTTCCATAGTCATGTCCGAGGTATCAACTGAGAAGTTGGTGAGGTCGCAGTCCACTGGTATTGTGAATACATCTGTTTCTTCGAGTCCGGAAAGGCCAGAAAGATTGGGGATCCAAGAGAGGTCGAGTTTTGTGTGAA